ACATAAGTAGCCAGCTGTTTGGAACTGTCCATTCTTATTAATGGTTCTGATTACCCTCCATGGAGATCCATTATCTCCATGCCAGGGAATATACTATTAATTCCCATCTGTGCCGGATTACTTACAGTTAGTGGTTGGTACTTTTCCACGGTCTCACAACACATCTTAATCAGATGGTGAGTGGGTTTAATTAGCCGAAGTATAGGTTTTATTTTTTTTATTCATATAACTACTTAATCTAATGGAAACCTATTATCTGTGGCTTTTTTCCCATGCATAATTATTGCCGTTTTTAATTGATGGTGCATCAGGGGTTGCGGCTACAATATGGCAGCTGGAACACAAAGTCGCCTCTCCCCAGAACGAAGGTTGAGAAAATGAGTTGTCAGTGAGGCATCAGATTTCTTGTTTTCACTGAGATGTGAGCTCCCATGTGGAAGCTGCTGGCTCCTGCCAAAAGGAAGAAAATGTGGATCTCAGCTGGGCAACCCCTGGGCTTCACTGCTGCAAAATGCCCTTCAGGAGCCCTGGGGCTGGAGCCAAATCAGGAACAGCTGGGGAAGGTAGCTATTTGTCAATCCAACCAGATCATAAGCAACCCCAGGGCAGGAACCAGGTCTCTTTCTTGTTCTGCCTCCTCCATCTCACGGGCCCTGGGATGGACTCAGGTACCTGTGTGTTCTCCATAGGCAGACAGTGAATTAAATTCAGGGCTGAGATGGTGCAGGAAACCCAGACTCTTGCAGAGAGAGTCACTGTCTTGAATGTGAAGATGATCCTCAAATTCTCCCTGCTGAGAGGAGCCATGTTCAAATGTGAACTGGGACTCTCAGCCAACCCATGAAAGATCCTAGTCATTTCCATTCAGAAATCAGAACCTGGTCTTTAAATGGGATGGGCTGCCAACATTCCAGTGATCATTTGGGACAGAGTAAGATCTCTAGAAACCAAAAAGTGACCATTTATCCAGATTGTAAGGGAAATGAGCAGAAAAGTGCAATGATACCTGGTCAAAAGTAGGAATCCATCCATTTTGTTTGTGTCCGCGTATGTGTGTGTTTATTGAAGTATAGCTGATTTACAATGTCGTGTTAACGTCTGCTGTACAGCGAAGTGATTCAGTTATACATATATAGACATTCCTTTTTATATTCTTTTCCATTACAGTTTATCACAGGATATTGAATACAGTTCCCTGTGCTATACAACAGGACCTCACTGTTTACTGTTCCACATATAATAGCTTACATCTGCTAACCCCAAGTTCCCACCACCCTAAGCCCAACCCAACCCCTCCCATTTGGGCAACCACAAGTCTGTTCTCTGTGTCCACAAGTCTGTTTCTGCTTTGTAGATAGGTTCATTTGTGTTCTAGGGAATCCATTCATTTTTTTTAAATAACACTAGAAAGCTAGGGCTTCCTAGAGATAGCTGTCTTGAAGGCTTGGTAGGAGAACCTGGCAGCCAGTTAGCAAAGCTCCTAACTGACCCAGAATGAAAGGATTCTGGGGTCTTTGATGAATTTCCAGAGTCCCTTGGGCTGAGCAGGACAGGGAGTCCTATTCACCCGTGAGGGGAGCTGAGGCAGCGTGGACAGGAAGTGGGTCCCCCTGACACACCCTCACATGCCCACCCTCACTCCACCTCTTGCCTCCGGCTCTCCCTGACCCGTCAGCTCCAGTCAGAGGAAATCTGCATAGCTGGGTTCAAAGTTTTATTTCCCCTCCTGCTTGTCTCTTCCTGTTAAATAATGTGACACAGAAAGGAGGCCACGAGAAGGAAAGGTGCTGGGGCTTTGGGGTTGTACCGTCTCTTCCAGGAGCCTCCAAGTTACCAAGGCAGCAGGCGTGGACTTTCTCTCCTGGTCCCCCGGTTCTGGCGGGCTACAGTTGGTGATGGCACTGGGTTTATTCCTTCCTTCCCATTTTGCAAAAATATGTGTACAGAGACTCCTGTGCCCGACCCACAGTCAGCAGCAGACAGGAGCCATGGATTCCTCTTGCAGCGTTTTACAGGGTGACGGATCAGATAATGTACACTTAGCGAGTGCACAAATAATGTGAATCAGGGTTGGCATAGTGCAGTGAGGTGTAAAAAAAGCAATTTGAATTGTTCTTGGGAGACGCCAGAGCCGCTCTGACATGCTTGCTTGCCAGAACGCTGCCCTATGCCCCTCCGGAGGGCTGAGCTCCAGGCTCCGGCCGGAATGGCAACGAGGCTGCCCGGCATGGCTGGTCTGGAGGGGAGCTCCCCTAGGGACAGGAGAAGCTCTGCACACGTGGAAGGGAGAGGGCAGGAGTGAGCAGATGAAACAGAGCTTCAATTTGTGCTGGAGGGGACAGTTGGACCCACAGAGCTGTCGAGACAATTGTAGGAAGGAGGGAGGGAAAGAGAAGGAGAGAGAAAATTCTGCATCGCTGGCAATGGCCACACCTGGGCAGCAAGTTGATGTGGACGTGTATGTGCTGGGGTAGACCTACCCTTAACCTCCTTGGACTGCCAGAAGTCTTCTAGTCCATCCCCCTGCCTCCAGTCAGGACAATGCCTTCTCTCCCACACAACAATGAGATTTGAGTTTGTTTCAAAACCTCTCCAAGAAGAGATTTCACATCCTCTCTTAGTCACCTGTTCTAAGCGTCTGAGAACGCCCACCCTCTGGAATTTCTTCGCCTGCTAAGTCCTTCAGCAGCCTTCAGCTTACACATTTTCACAAGGGTCTGGCCACCCTTAATCTATTGGTAGTACTCAAGATTACCTGTGCCCAAGCAGAGACCTGTCCCTAGTGCCACGTCCTCCCTCTCTGGTAGGAGGGGGGCTCATGAAGGGGTAACCAGCTCATCTCTCGGCCAGCTTTCTTCTCGCTGTCCTTTCCGACCACCCTGGCTGCCCCGAGCTGCTCTGTCGGGCTCCCCTCGCAATCTGGCTCTGCAAGCCAGACTACTCGATGAGACTTGCCGGTTGACGGGGCCGATCCTCCTCTGGTGCTGTCCCCACCAGCCTCTGTCCTCACCACCCCTCCTCCCCCCATGCTGCTTCCATGAGGTTTCCTGTCCTGAGCAGGAGACAGGCTGTTTATCACTGTGACACCCGCCAGGCAGCCTTCCCTCTCAGAGCCGCAGCATCTCTTCAATCCTCCCAACCCTCACCTCCCCCAGCCCCGACCATCATCGTCTTCTGGCTCCCGGGGGCAGGGAGCCCAGTCTCTGCACCCAGAAGGTGGTCAATAAAATGGTTTGGATTTATTTTTCAATAACAGCAAGCAGGCATTGCCAACCGCCTCCATTAAGTGCCCCAGTCAAACCAAGCTCCAAGCCCGAAATTCGGCATCTGGGTGGTTTACGAGACCTGGTCAGAGGGGAAAGTGGTAGGAAATCTCTTGATTGTTTCAAATGAAAGCCGATTACAGGGAGCAAGGGAGTTTCTTGGTGGCTCAGGAAGCTGAGAGGTTCCGGATAATGGATGGCCCGGCTGCCGCCTGCCCACCTGCCTTACTGACCTCGGAGTGGCCGCGGGGAGCCCAGCGCAGATTAAGAACCCAAACAAAAGGGAAGATAGGACAGGCCTGGGGACAGGCAGCCTGCTGAGGGACTGGCTGAGGCCTCCAGATTTTTTTCCCAGGAAATCTGGGGACACATTTCCATGTTGTCTTTGCATAAATTTGTGTGCTGATTTGCATTCATTTGCATTTTTGCCTTCAAAACACCCAAACTCCCAGAATATAAAATAAAATGCAATTAATTAATTAATTGATATGATGGATGGCAAATGCAGCCATACTAAAAATACAGGATTGGTGAGGGACCTTGATCAAGGGACAGATTTTTGAACTTGTCCCCCTAAGCCAGGATGGATCCTGGGGATATGGCACAACCTGTTCTGAAGTTGTCTGTCTCCCTGGCTAACAGTAAGCCCCGGGGAGCAGGAACAGACAGAACTCTTTGATCCCTACATCCCTGGGCTCCAGCGCAGGGCTTGTCACATACGAGACTATTAATAACTGTTTTGTAGAATATGTAACTCAATGACCAAGTGCATGAGTGACTCCCCTGCAAACTTATGATCAGAAGATAGGATCAGAAAGAACTGACACTCCCTCCTCCTAGGAACCGACTGGATGGGGTTCAGAGTTGCCCTCAGAGGAAGAAGTCTTCCCAGGGCAGCTAATCAGGGACGTGGCTCAGAACAAACGCACTGGGGAGGAGTTCTGGGAGCAGACTGGGAGTGAGTGCAGAGCATGTGGGCTGCCCAGCCCAGGGACTCTCCGTCCTGAGTAGATGTGGACACCGATCTGGACCACTTGATGGCATAAACCAGAGGATGAGGAGTCAAAGGCACTGGAGTCCTCCCTCTGTGCCCAAAACAGTGAGGCTTTATAGCCCTTTGAACCCAGAAAGGACCCACTGAGTGACCTGGCCCATCCACCCTCTGTGCCTAGCACTGGGCCTTGCACAGAAGTGACTCTAAGCAAGTTTTTACTAAAGCACCTTCTACTGAATACTCAATGGATATTGATTAACCCATTGATTGGCTGACCAATTGACTCTCTGGTCACCTTTCAGCAGTCCTTAATCTTCTCCCCAAACCCAACAGCTCGCTCAGTAGATCCCAGCCCTCCCCCATGCTTACAGACACAAAGTTTTCACAGACTCCAAGAGAGCCACCATCTGGTACCAGGTAGCCCACACATATGATGCTGTTGACCCTACTGTCAATTCTTTGAAATAGGTAGTTCTACCTGGTGGCTCACCTAATCCCACTTACTATGACAAAAGTCTATTCTTTCTGATTCCAAATTTTGCAGAAGGATCAAGAATTGCTTTCTGTCCTACACATATCCCCCATATGTTGATCCACTGTGATAGTCAAGAGACTGGACTTTGGAGCTGTTCTATTAATAGAATCCTGGCTCCACCCTCCCTTACAGAACAAGTTAACTTCATCTCATCTATAGAATGGAGGTAACAATGATGTGATTCCATAGGGTTGTCATGGGGATTAAATGAGACAATATCCACCGCTCAGAACAGCACTGGGCACATAGTAAATGCTGCTCCAGTGTTAGCTCTTCTTATTATTTTACAATAGACCCCTTCACCCTCTCTTTGGAGAAAAAGGAGAAACAGAATTGAAAGTAATGAGGAGATGGAGGGAGTTTCACAGAAGTAACTCCTCAGGACGCAGAGGGGAGATTGAATCATTTTCTCTTCACTATGTATCACTCAAAATATAAACTCAGAATCTAATGCCTGGAGAGAAGCCAGGATGCTGTTTGGATAAAGAGGTGAGAGGTTCTCAGAAGCTGACCCAGGCATCTTTGGCAGGCTGGGACAGGTGGCCTAATCAGGGACACCAGTAGAGCCGGGGATTTGGGGATGTGCCCTCCGGCTTTGGGGATCAGGCTGATATGAGGCTTGGAGAGCGGCTGCAGAGGAAGCAACCCTGCCCCAGGATTAGCAACCTGGGCATCCTCAGGCTTTGGGTGTTGGGAAAGACAAATAAGAAAAGTCCTCAGTTAGGGGAGGCTGGAAAATATCAGAAGAAGCACTGGTGCTGACACTGTTTCTCTTCTCCTTGCCTGGCTCTAAATGCAGGTTGGACACATGACCAAGAAAGAGGAGAACCTGAAGAAGGAACCAGCTTATTCATAAATTCCAAGGAAAACACCAAGTAGGGACCCCAGAGACTCAAAAATTTTCTTACTCGATGTGAAGGGCATCAGGAAAGAATCAAGTTTCTGCCATAAGGCCAGGTCCTTTTTTGCTGACTTTAATTCATTCTTCACAACAACTCTGAAATGTAAGTATTATTGTTCCCATTTTACAGATGAGAATAGGAGAGACTATAGATTTGCTGAAGCTCAAAAGATAGCTATATTGAGGATGCCGTGTTAGAGGCTAGGTCTACCTAGTTCCAAAGCCTGTGTTTTATTTACTACTCTGAAGGAAGAAGAGTACAAATTGGAAAGAAAAACAGGAGCAGAAAGAAAGAAAAACAGAAAGGAAGGAGATGAAGGCACTTCGTAGGGGTTGGGGAGGGGAAGAAGCAAGAGCTAGGAAGTTGTGTGCACATGACATTAAGTGAATAGTATGCAAATGAGATGCAAAACAACATGCAAATGAGTAAGTGGAGTTTTTTTTTTTTAGCCAACCACTCAACTCCATTTGGCACAATTGCAGCACAAGGCATACCTGCCCAAAGCTAGCACTATCTGTGCTTCGAGCAGAAATAGTGTCTGGGCTGCTGATGTCTCCTTCCTCCCTCCTCCTGCTCTGGTCCTTCACCCCCTCACCCCTGAGGCCAATCGCACCAGCATCCCTCCCTCCAGACACCCCAGAAGATAAGTGGCCTCATCAACCTCCTAATGGAGTGACCTCTCACCCCTGATCTATCTCCACTTCTGTTTACCTTCGCTGGGAGGCTTTCTGGCCACCTGGGATCAACAGCTGCCATTTTCCTGACCCCACTTGTCAAATGAATCTGCCAGCCCGGTGCCTTCCTTTACCAATGGCAGCAGAGATGAAACGTCCCCTTTTAAGGGACTGCTTCTGACCCTGACCACACTCAGCAGCTTCTTAAGCTCCGTGTGACAGCTGCTTCCCTGCGGCTAGTCTCTGGGGAATCTGGAAGAAAACTTACAAGGTGATCTTATGATGCCTTAGGTAGACAGTAGTTGGTAGCCCCTCCCTTTCTTAAAGGTGCTTGAAAAACAATCTAGGGCCAGTCCTGGCTATCCATGCCAATTTTAATCCTTTCCTTTCTATTTAGAAGTTCTTGCCAATGTCTACCTTATATCCTCACGTTCATAGTGTTAGCCTATTCTCTGCTATTTTGTCCTCAGAGGAGATGGAGAATCTCTGCCCTTTCACCTTTTAATGTAAGAAAGGAACGGGGAATTGGGAAGAATACACTTAGCAATACAGAGTTGAGACACTTATTGACAAAATACTGGGCTTTTATTTTCTCCTGCCTACCCAGAAACCATAGCTTATGTCAAGGGCTCAATGCCAAGGGTCCCAGAGACCTCCTGGCTCTGAGCATGGGCAAGTCATGGAATCCAAGGAGGGCTGTGATCTCTTTGCACTATGTTCTTTATGTTTCCAAAAGGAGCTCAGGGTAATCATTTTGTTTTTAAAGTCAATGTCAGAAGAGCCATTTGCAAGATAGACTGTCCATGAGGGAGGTCACTGGAAGATAACATCTTATTGGCCAAAATGTTCTTAGCAGTTGACCTGGTCCAGCTTAGAGGCCATTTTCTTTGAGAAACCTTCCTCCTTTCTCTAGGATTCAGATCCAGATTCAAGTAACAAATATTAGTTGTATTTTATACCAACCACTGTGTTAGGTGCCTTCACATACATTATCTTTTAAAAAAAACCCTTCATTAAAAAACAAAACTCATCATCATAGGGGACTTCCCTGACAGTCCAGTGGTTAAGAATCTGCCTACCAATGCAGATGACACAGGTTCAATCCCTGGTCCAAGAAGATCCCACATACCGAGAAGCAAGTAAGCCCATGTGCCCTAGCTGCTGAAGCCCACTCACCTAGAGCTGGTGCTCTGCAACAAAAGAAACCACCATAGTGAGAAATCTGTGCACAACTAGAGAGTAGCCCCCGACTGCCACAACTAGAGGAAACCCACGTGCAGCAACAAAGACCCAGCACAGCCGTAAATAAACAAGTAAAACTGGGAAGCTATAATAATGTAGTATGGTTTAGACACAGGAATGACTGACAACCAGTGGACTAGAATGGCCAATTCAAATATAGATCCATATTTGTGAATAAATTTAATAAAAAAAGAAAGAAAAATCTCATCTTCACAAATGCCTTCAAGATAGGTAATCTTATCCAGACTTCACAGAAGAAGAAACCAAAGGTCATGGCTAATTTAATAATTCCTCAGTCTCTTTTGGGACCTTAATATAGGCAGTTCGACCAGATACCTACCTAAATGCTTTCTTAATGATCCTTTCTTCTCATCACCTTCTGTTCTATTTATGGAAATCAGATGGTAAGCTTAAACTATCTTGGTGACACAAGGTTGGAGATGGTTGCAAATCCCATTCCTCAAACTCTGCTCCATCCCCCAACATTCAAACCCACTCCTCCATCTCTAATGGAAGGAAAGCAGCTCCCCAGAGAAGGTGAGTGAGTGGTGGGGGAAAGACCCTCTGGCAGGGTCACCAGCAAAGTGCCAGTCCCTGTGACCCTGTGGCTTCGTTCTACAATGACTCATGATTCCAACTCCAGTCATCCTGTCCTTCTTTTGATCTTGTCATTCCTGGCATCCTTAGCAAAGAGGCTGGGGAAGCAGGCTGGAATATTAAGGGGACACACGTAGGCTGGTGACTGCATTAAATGCTGTAACTTTGGCATCAAAGTGGACTGCCGTTTTGATAAACAGAATTTCATTTTCTGAATCTTTCCGTCACTGGGCTTTTGTTGATCTAAGGTTGGGCTGAACTATGTATGAAGTGAGTGATACAGATACTGTTCTGTCCTCTGGGAGTTGAGGTCTGACCCACTCCTCAAGATGGAAAACTCCATCAGTTGACACAAACACCCTAAATGCCATGCAACTACAAAGCGTGAAAGAAATCAAAGATATTAAATTGGGGTAAAGCAAAAATTATGAGGCTTCCTCTAGGCCATTAGAAAATTTCCATTTTCCCCTGAAAATTGTCCTCTACTGATTCTTCTCCCCACTACGTGGGGTCTCAGGAGCTGGAACAGGTTGGGACACAGAGTAGGCGACGCATATATGTTATGAACGGCTAGATGAATAGATCGTGGGTGAATGGATACATACAGCTGAGTCAAGAGACAGTGTAGAGAAAGGCTTCTCTGATCCTCTAAAACACCATCCACATTTGGGCAAATGACCTTGTCTTATCCTCTAAGCCCATCCACGCTCTGCCTATCCCAGCCACCAGGGAACTTGGTTGTACCTTCCTCATATCTCTGCAGAGAGACACTTTAGACACCTCTTTCTGCCTGGGGAAGCTTGTCTCTAAGCCTGGGGACATCTGGGATTATGCCTGGCCCAAAGGTCTTTATAAGGAAACTGTAGACAATGGAGGCCCAGCTCTTCGGGAGCCAAAAAGCTTTGTTTAAGAGACAGCTAGTTAGAGAGTGGACAGTATTTTTAAATGCATGAGTGTGCTGAATAATTAAGCAAAAAGTTTTGTTTTCATGGAAAAATTTCCTCCAAATGCTGCATCAAGGAGGGTACTGAATTTGCCACGGGCAATTGTTGGCAAAGATAGTGAGGCTGTGTTTCTTCCAGTCCAGAGAAAGGGAATTCAGATCAGACCTCCAGGCTATGGCCCCCAGTTCAAAGAGAGCCCATTCTTTCTGATACAGAACAGTCACTCTGGGAAAATCAGATAAGGTCTTCCAAAGATCATTAAGCCTTTCTCCTGTCTGGTTACCAAAATCATTCAAACTCTTCTCCTGTCTAGATTTTCACTGGGTCATAAAATTTTGAAGCAATCCATCCAATCCCTCATCTTACAGAGGAAAACATTGAGGGCCAGAGAGGTTAAGAGATTTGCCAAAAGGCCCACAGCAAGTGGATGGCAGAACTGATTTATCTTAAATGTCTGATTATTACCCTTTGCTATCTTCTCTGCCAACAGAAATGCAACCCATCATTTAATACCCTGCTCAAGTCTCCCCTTCTCCTCAAATACTTTTTGAACCCAGCACCCTACAAATATCTCTCCGCAATTCTCTGAATTCTTAAAACAGTTATCTCTTAAATTCTTAAAACAGAACATCTAGGGGCTTCCCTGGTAGTGAAGCTGGTAAAGAATCTGCCTGCGATGTAGGAACCCCAGTTCGAGTCCTGGGTTGGGAAGATCCTCTGAAGAAGGGATAGACTGCCCACTCCAGTGTACTTGGGCTTCTGTGGTGGCTCAGACGGCAAAAAGTCCACTTACAATTCGGGAGACCTGGGTTTGGTCCCTGGGTTGGGAAGATCCCTGGAGAAGGGAATGGCTACCCACTCCAGTATTCTTGCTTGGAGAATTCCATGGACAGAAGAGCCTGGCAAGCTACAGTCCATGGGGTCACAAAGAGTCAGACACGACTGACCAACTTTCACTTTATCATTAGTTCCCACTAGGCCATATGGTTAGTGAACAATCATCTGTCCATCTCTTCTTTCAAAATTTATTTCGGGTCTGGGTCTTCGTTGCTGTGTACAGGCTCTATCTAGTTGCAACAAACAGTGGCGGGGGGGCAGTGGGCAGGGCTCTTCTAGTTGTAGTTGTGGTGCACAGGCTTCTCATTGTGGTGGCTTCTCCTGTTGTGGAGCACAGGCTCTAGGTGTTTGGACTTCAGTAGTTGCAGCATGCCGGCTGGGGTACACAGGCTTAGTTGCTCCATGGTATGTGGAATCTCCTGGACCAGGGAGATTCCTGCATTAACAGGAGGATTCTTATCCACTGTGCCACCAGGGAGGTCCCTGAACACATCTTTCTGATGAACAGATTCCAAGGTCTTAAAAGGAAGGAACTCTCTCTTACAACTCTTTTGTATCTCCCTTCATGGTAGAGCGTGTAAGTGCTGCTTGATGGATATTTGTCGAAAATGTAGCTCAGTGGGCAGATGGATGGATGGACTAAGGATGAATAGAAGTATTTAAAAGATACTTAATGAATGAGAATAAATAAAATGATAAAATATAAAATTATTCCACATAGTCTAGTGTAAGCATTTGCTTAAAGATGCAACATCTCTTTATTGTAATATCATGTGTGTATAAATGTACAGTATACGTGTGTACATATGTATAGGTATACACACACACACACACACACACACACACTCATAGTGACTAAGAATAACAGTCCTCAGCCCAGTTCACCTTACATTCATTTTCCAGGTAATGAAACTGAATCAGAGTGAAGGGAAGAAACCAGCCACCCTCACACGGCCAGAAACAGACACAGGAGGAACGAGAGGCCCAGCTGGAAATGCACGGTGCAGCGTCTACCATGATGCATTTTTGTTTCTTTAGAATGAAGGATGAATAATAACCTAGGACACCTTTCCGTGGGTGCTCTCGGACCCGGGGGTTGTGGGGGGCGGGGGTGGGGGCTGAGAGAAAATAAATCTGCTCTTCAGAAAAAGAAAAAAAAAAACCATATAGTTACTGTTTCTTCTTTATACCCCAAATTACAGGTATGGCTGGTGGGTCATTAATTATAAAACTGCCTTCATAAGCTCTAATGGAGGCATTTTTAAAACATTCTCTAAATACTTGTAGCAAATTTTAGCATTAAAAATGACTCGAGTGAAAATTATTTACCAGTATGGTAATTCTTTCCAAGATGACTCTAGACTTGAAGTCATTTTCCTTACCGGTACCACCCGATAGAATAATTGGCTGCAATTAGCGAATGACTTTGTCATTCCTCCCAGAATCTGGCTTCAGCATCCGTGAAACATGTGGATTCTTTTCTCTTTCCCAACAGGGACTCAGAGCTTCTGCAGATCTTGTCTTCCCCATGCAATGCATCACAACATCACAGAGATGGAGGGGGCTTGCCCTCACTCAGCTCAGAGTTCCTCAGAAGGTGGGACCAAAGGAAACTTAGGTGGTACACAGATGAGCCTTAAAGAAAATTAATAATTAAGTTTCTTGTAATCCACACTAGAAAAAAAAATGACTTACACACCAATTATTTTGCATAGTATGTTTAGAGCGAGGACAAAATTTTTAACTAAGCCAATTGAAAGAAACATATTTAAAGTTCTGACAAAACTCATAAAAATACTACTTGAATAAATTGAAGTTTGGAAAATAGTGATAGGCACATACCCTCATCTTTTGGGAGCAGAAACTGAAGCCCAGAAAGGCAGCTACAGGACTAGAATTCAGCTCTAGTAATTGCCAGACCAGGCTTCCTCTCCTCTAGACCCTGAAACATCTCCCTTCACCCCGGAGCGGCTGTCAGTAACAATGTGAGATTGGCAGAGCTTCTTCAGTGTCTAGGAAGCCACATTTCAGGATTGTTCCTCCCTTTCTCAGTCTTCACCCACTCTTTTCCCCATCCCCCAAGGTTATGATCCCCCAGTGAATTAACATATGTTCAGATAGTTTCAAAATCCACTATCTTATGTGCACATATATATACCATATCTTCTGTATCCATTCATCCGTTCATGGACATTTAGGTCTTTTTTAAATAGTGCTGCTATGAACATTGGGGTGCATGTATCTTTTTAAACTCAAGTTTTCATCCTTTTCTGAATCTATGCCTAGGAATGGGACCCCTGAACCCTATCATAACTCTATTTTTAGTTTTTTAAGGAACCTCCATACTGTTCTCCCTAGTGGCTATACTAAATGCCAATAGTTTCATGCGCTGCTTCCCAGGTGGCTCAGTAGTAAAGAATCCACCTGCAATGCAGGAGACCTGGGTTTGATCCTTGGGTTGGTAAGATCCCCTGGAGACGTGAATGGCTACCCACTCCAGTGTTCTTGCCTGGAGAATTCCATGGACAGAGGAGCCTGGCAGCTACAGTCCATGGGGTCGCAAAGAGTTGGACACGACTGAGCAACTAATACTTGCTGGTTACGTCAACTGAATGATGCTATCTCAACTGGCTAGGTTTGGGGTTTTGGTGACCCATTCTATGAAACAGTTGCTTGATTAACACTGCTTTTCAGATAATTTCCAGCTAGGGGACCCTTCTTGCTGGCGTTATCCCTCTTGTCCCCCGGTTTGAACTGCACAGACTGTATTGATGACATTTTGTAAGGTTTACATGCATCTCAATGAATCCAAGTACAGAGGCAACCAGGTCACTGACCCTCCAGGCCAGGACCTTCCAGGGAGTCAGAAGAAAGACAGCACTTGTTGGTTAGCCCAATCTACTGACTAGCAAAGGATGCCCCATTGAGAGTTGGGGCCTCAAGGACACCTGTCAGAGTTTGGTCATCTAGGGGAGTGTCAGTCTCATGATTGCTCCTTAACCATCTGGCCAGTGCTGGCCTCCTTAAACCTCTTTTTATCCCAAGTCTGGGTCTAACAGGGGAAGGTGTCCAATTCCTGGCATCCCCCAGCCAATCCCCATGCAGTTTCCAGAAGGTGAAGTAGAGCTGTCTGGGGGCTGCGGCTGTATTAGCGTGTCTCAGCTGCCAAGTGAAGGCAGGGATGAGACCTACCCCTCCCAGGCCTGTTTCCTTGACTTTAAAATGAAGGGATTTGGTTTAGAGAGCGTCTCGGGTGCCCATCCAGCAGTCCTTGACCTCTCCCTATCACCAGGCTTTCAAACATTTTTCTCTTGCGGTTTCCTTTCTGTGTCTCGTAATCGCATTCCCCATGAATGATAAAAGCGCTCCGGGTCCATCCATTAGATATCTTGACAAAGAGCTCTTCAGAGTTGCTTCTTGGCCTTGACAAAGACTTTAAAGCTGAAAGAGTGACAGCATTTTTTTTCCCTCTTGAAGGCCAGAGTGTTAGAGAACAGAGGGCGTGAAGGAAGAAGATACCCTAGTTGGGAGGACAGGCTGGGGTCAGGCAGACCTGGGTTCTGAGCCCAGCTAGACCGCTGCTGGTCGAGTGCTGGGAGCAAGTTACTTAGTCTCTGTGGGCCTCAGTTTCCTCGGGAGTGAAATAAGGACAAAGTGGCCCGTAGTAACAGAATGGGTATGCCCGTAAATGAGATCACTTATATAGCTGATACATGGAAGGTGCTCGGCCAGGGCCAACAGTTGGGTTTGAACAACTCTACCGAGAACAGAACTGATCCCCGTAAAATCAGTCTGCTTTGGTTAAAGACATTCACCCAAACCCCAGACTTAAATCTGTATTGAGTTTTTTTTTGTATTGAGTTTTATCCCAAAATGAAAGAGAGAAGGGGGAAAGACTGGATCAAATAGAGAACAAAAATAACAGTGTTGGGGCTTCCCTGGTGACCTAGTGGTAAAAACTCTCCACTCCCAGTTCAGGGGACAGGTTCGATCCCTGGTTGGGGAACTGAGATCCCACATGCCATGTGTCGTGGCCAAAAAACATATAAATTAAAGGATGTCTATCACTTTTATTCTCATAATGTAAAAATAAGGAATGTTTCTTTCTTTAACACTGACAAAAAAAATACAGTGTTGCTCCAACTCATATGGCAGGGAACAGAGAGGGTCCCCGGAAGTCTGGGTCCAGGTTTCGGAGTTGCTACTTAAATCTGGAATCCGTATGCCCACCACTATCCCCCCCAACCCCCATCCCTTTTCATCCCTTCTCCTTTCAATCAAACACTTCAAAGAGGAGCCCGGAGAAGAGAACTGTGAATTCTCTGCTCACTAGTTTTCATGAGAGGAAACCAAAGAATGTTTCTTTTTGAAACTGCATCTGCTCATCCAAACCAATTTTACTAGCTAGGGGACCTGAGCTCACAGGCAGGCTCAGGGGCTGATGAAATTCAGATGTGAGGATGCAGAGAGATTTCAACACTAACAGGGAAGTGGGGGAGTCCAGCGTGGCTGGGCAAGGGTCCGGGCGGTGGGGGAGGGGATTCGGAGATGGAGCGAGAGGTACCCAGGAAGAGACAGAGAAGAGAGGAAGGGGGCCAAGAAGGGCTGAAAAGGAAGAGAGAGATGAGACAAAGCCCAAGAAAGCATTTTATTTTTCTTCTTTAAAGAACAAAAAAACAAACACGCTGTTTCAACTGACGGGAAATGCTCCTCTGCCGAAGGCATTATTAGGACAAGAGATAAGGAAACCACAGAGATAGGAAATAATTATTTTGTATCTGTCTTTACAAATGAAAATGAAGGACATTAACTTAAATAGGATTTAGATTTTCAGGGACAGAAGGGAATGAATTAGGGAATATTCTGATAACACAGGAAATGTTTATTAACAGGTCAGGGGAGGGGGGCTCTTGAAACTGACAAGGATTCCTGGGCCAGATAAAAAACCAGCTAGACTAAAAAGGAGACCAAGAAGAGCAGAGCTGTGGGGTCAGAGGGCACCACTTGTGCGAGATAACTCAGATCTGGATGGAGGATGGATGGAAAAGGTGACTGACCCCTTCACCCTACTTGGCAGTTGGTAACCTAACATAACAGGTGTGGGTCAGGCAACTGGACCCTGAGCAAAGCAGATGTGGGCAGAGGTATCCAGGGCAGAGGCATCCCTCCTCCTCATTTCTGCACTCCCTATAGCTTGTGGATGGGTGGAGTTTGGAGAAAGTGTGTGGAAAGGAAGAAAGGGAGGGAACCATATCAGTGAGAAGGCCAAGCTCACAGTCTCAGAGAATCCCACACTCTTTAGAGACTCACTAACCAACAAAGTCCTTAACACACACGGCTTTGTCTTCTGGGTGTGTACCCCACCGGGCCAGACAGAACTATCTTCCCCATTTCCCCGCTCTGTCCAGGGAGACAGTGGAAGGGCAGCAGTTAGGAGCCCAGGCTCCGGCATCAGATTGCCTGGGTCTAAATTCTGGTTCTGTCCCTTTCTAGCTGTTGGCCTTGGATGAGTTATTCAACTCATCTGAACTTCAGCTTTCCTAGCTATAAAATGGAAATCTATTGGGCATACTTCTTTCATAATGTCATTGGTGGGATTAAATGAGACCATAAAAGAAAGTTCTTAGAACAGCAAATAGACTATACAATAAAACATAGTTATTATAACAATTTCTAAAGGCATTGTGGCTTACTTTCAAAGCCCAAGTTCTTCTTTACGTCTAAGGTTCATCCCACTTGCTGCCATTTGAACCTCTCCTGATTGAAATAAACACCTGCTCATGCCCACCCACACAGCTTCCTGCCTCGGACCTCGAGCTCTGTCTGTCCTGAAAAGGGCTCTTCCTCACTCCTTCCTGTCCACCCACTCCAACATCACCTTCAAAACCTCAGCAAGGCTGCAGGTGGAAAAGTTTTTGACCACTGAAACCAAATGTCTAGTGGTTATGTTAAAGTCCTTACAGGAGAGAGAGCCTATGGATCAGGTTTAGGATGGAGGGAAGCACAGACCTGCCCGCTAACCTCCCCAAAAAATCCCTGCACCCCTGGAAGATGGTCACCTCTTCCGCCTCCACTTCTACACTGGACTGAGTGATGCGTGCCCAGGATGCTCCCCAGAGGCAGGACTCACAAAAGGACCCTCTGCAGGTGTCTGAGCTTAGCATCTCCTAGAGCAAATCTGGGGGCTGGTTCCTTAGACTCGCTGAAAGCTCTCTGCTGACAGAATCAGATAATCAGCTAATACCCGACCTCGCAGCGTCCTGAGCCTTGGGACGGATACATAACAATGTCATCAGGCCTGCCTTCTAAGAGCCTTAGCCAGCTTACTGCCTCTTTGAGTGAGTCTGCCCTGGGTAATTATTCCAAATTCTGCCCGTGAGGAGGGCTAAGTGTCATGTCACCGTAATCCTCTGGAATGATCTGCCATTGGCACCATCAAAGGGGCTGCACACGGCCTCTTCTCTACATGCAGCTCTCCCGAATTTCTGTGGCGGTTCCTGGAGAAAGTAGCTCACCCCTGATTTTCTCCATAGATGTGTTTCAAAGAAAATGGGTGAAAGGTTGCTTCTGGGGTCCACAGAGGGCAGGGTCGGACCTCCAAAGTACCTCCCGTTCCAGAAGTCTCAAGCTGGAGTCAACCCTTCCCAGCCAGCCTTACAAATAAATAGTCTCTGGCCCACTCCTTCAGGTCCAGGGAAAACTGGTACAAACTGAGTCAGGACATCTGACTGCCTCCAGTCCAGGACATTCTTCTTTTTTTTTAATTTTTG